CCTACAAATTGTTTGGAACTGACAATGGGGCAGCCAAGGCAAGAAGCAGAGACAGTATGGAAACGAAGCTGTCAAGTCCCACATTCTAGCCGCAAAGACGGTCGCCAACATTGTTAAGAGCTCTCTGGTATGCTACAGCCGTTGGAACTGAGCTAGGTCGAACACCAGCTTATAGATTGCAGGGACCGCGAGGACTGGACAAGATTCTCATCTCCCCCGACGGAGACATTACCGTCACCAACGATGGCGCCACGATTCTCTCCCAGATGGAAATCTCCAACCACGTCGCGAAGCTGCTAGTCGAGCTGTCAAAGTCCCAGGACGACGAGATTGGTGACGGAACGACGGGTGTCGTAGTATTGGCCGGAGCTCTCCTCGAACAAGCCGCCGATTTGATTGACAAGGGCATCCACCCAATTCGGATAGCAGACGGATACGACCAGGCTTGTGAGGTCGCCGTGGCCAAGCTGGACGAAGTCAGCGACGAGATCAACTTCTCGCGGGAAAACACAGAAGAGCTGTTCAGGGTTGCAAAGACCAGTTTGGGCAGCAAGATTGTCTCAAAAGCGCACGACCAGTTCGCCAACATTGCCGTAGACGCTGTGCTATCGGTAGCAGATTTGGAACGAAAAGATGTTGACTTTGAGCTCATCAAGGTCGATGGCAAAGTCGGTGGATCACTGGAAGATACACTCCTTGTCAAGGGTGTCATAATAGACAAGGACTTCTCTCACCCCCAGATGCCTTCCGAGGTCAAGGACGCCAAACTCGCCATCTTGACATGCGCATTCGAGCCCCCGAAGCCCAAGACCAAGCACAAGCTCGACATTACCAGCGTAGATGAGTTCAAGAAGCTGCAAAACTACGAATCGAACAAGTTCACCGAGATGATTGAGCAGATCAAGAATACCGGCGCCAACGTAGTAATATGTCAATGGGGTTTCGACGACGAGGCCAACCACCTTCTTCTCACAAACCAGCTGCCCGCTGTACGGTGGGTAGGAGGTCCTGAGATTGAGTTGATTGCCATTGCGACCAACGGCCGCATTGTACCAAGATTCGAGGACCTCAGCGCGGAGAAGCTTGGAAAGGCAGGCATTGTCCGTGAGCTGACATTCGGAACTACAAGAGACAAGATGCTGGTCATCGAGGAATGTGCAAACACAAGAGCCGTCACAGTCTTTGTCCGTGGAAGCAACAAGATGCTCATCGACGAGGCTAAGCGATCACTGCACGATGCTCTTTGCGTCGTTCGCAATCTGGTGCGAGATAACCGCATTGTGTACGGTGGAGGTGCGGCTGAAATAGCATGTTCGCTTGCCGTCGAAGATGCGGCAGTCAAGGTAAGCAACACCCACGCGGCATCGGCAATAAATAGCAGCTAATATCTTGCAGAGTCCCGGTCTGGAGCAATACGCGATGCGTGCTTTTGCTGACGCTCTAGACTCGGTACCCATGGCGTTGGCTGAGAACTCTGGTCTGAGCCCAATCGAAACCCTCGCCAACATCAAGTCCCGACAGGCCAAGGAGAAGAACTACCGGTTAGGTGTTGACTGCATGCAGACTGGTTCCAATGGTAAGTGCGCCCCTTCTCTAGTGGTTGTCATGAACAATGCATCCCTCTCGTTTCAGCGGCACTTGGTTGCTTTGGTTCTCACCGCCGTTCGATCGACCTGCATGACCCCAGCAGTTTGGGGGAGTGTGTTCCGCGGTGCATCAACTCAATTGACGCCACCGTGGGGTGGGATGGAATTACCCCACGCATCCAGTGCTGCGCTGGCATGGTACAACCCTGAGTGGGGGAGATGAGAGTCATCTGAGCCGCCCGTACTGTGCTGTCGCTTCCATTCACAGTACCACGGGCATTGTTGGCAGTCTGATATGGAATGTTTGGCTAACGTGGCGTTTTCTGCAGATATGAAGGAGCATTTTGTCATTGATCCTCTGATCTCGAAGCGACAACAGCTGCTGCTCGCTACACAATTGTGCCGTATGGTACTCAAGGTACGTATTGTAACCTTTGGTGTTTCGTAACATGCCCTGGGTCGCTCCCTTACCCGTCATACCTTCTTTTTTCCTCTTCCCGTCAAACTTTCTTTGTTGTCTGTTGTCTGCGCGACGTCGCCATCCCCCGGTATCCCTTGCACTACAGCCTTGGCTCAATCACGATGCCGGGGAAGCGGGGAAGGTACGGTCGCGGCCGCACGAATGCCTGCATACGTGCTTGTCTTTTGCCGTTACATGCGACAAACGCGGCATCCATTCGTGTCACCTGTGGTTTTCTTGTCGCTATCCACGGCTACTTGTAACTTGTTTTTTTGCATCATTTTCGTTGGCAATGATGCACAACACACGGGCTAACACACGGCACAGGTCAACAACGTGATTATTGCCGGAAGCGGAGAGCAGGATTTCTAAACGCCACACATGTCACTGCCGTATGCAATGTCATGACGATACGAGACTTAGTGTCCGAGTTGAGTATACTAGCATGTAGCGAGACTTGAGACTCGAGGCTAGTTAGAAAGCATCGAGATGTCATTGGTATACCCGTGGACTGTTCAAAACGAATGAGAAATACACGCATCACGATGACACTTGACTTGTGAATGATCATTGAACTGTGCTTTTATGATTTGACAGCTGTGATGACGAATCCACTGCTTATTCTTCTTACATTTCATACTGTACGACTTGGAGTCTCTCTGTATATTAAAATACCCGGATTAGAGTTTTCTTGATAGCACCGGCCCAAGTGATGAATGATCGCCAAAAAGAAGCATTCAGATCTGGACAAAGATACTTGCTACGCATCCCAATAGCTAAACTGCATTTTACTACTACTTAGTACCATTAAACCGGCGTCGTTCGTCGTGTTACTTTTCTCCAACTACTCTGTGCGCAATAGGGTTGCTTTGGAAAAAGTTTCCCGGTGCTTTGTCTTTAACCCAGATTGAATCAAGCGATTCCATCTGGCCATTTAAAATCTATCCCATAGTGTTAATGTGGAATCAATATTACCACTAATATCCCTTCCCATTTAGTTATTCTCAAAGCAATTGCGAGTGTGCACTACTAGAATTTATATACCGGAGTTCGGCTATAGATATTCCATCCGTAAGTGATGTGTTCTATGAAAGATGGCTGGGTGCATAGATTGAGTGGAGAGTGGTGGAATGAGTGTCAGGGATGGAAAAATTAGGTTAAAGGGGTGGGGTGTTGCTATGTGTAAAGAAGAAGGGGCGGATGGGATGGATGGGATAGTGTATGGAGGTTCGAGTAGAGTGGGGAAGGAGGTACTAGAATGTAGGAGGAAAACGGTGATTAGATGGGAGATATGAGAGATGGATGGTAGTTTTGACGTGGTAAGCGAGCATATCTCGCATACTTTCTGATGTATTTCGTGGTAAAAATTCTTTGCTTACTTTTTTTCGGCGAAAAGGGTGGTTACAGCTTTGTGCGAAATGATGGATGAAAGATAGCTTTTGTTCGCAATTGAGACTAAGCCTAGCTCTTTTTCGTGTTCTCAATGTGAAATATCTGTGTATTCTATAAAGCACAAGTCATGAGGGGAGAGTGTTGATTTGATAGTGTAGTAATGAGACTGACTATTTTCCTTCCGCAAGTCTAAAAGACGAGTGCGGTGAAGAGAGCGAATGAATTGTGATAGATATATATGCAAAACTCCTATACTAACGTGGGTATGAGAGATGAAAGACAAAAAAAGTAAAGTTACGTAACGTCACTGTTGCCACTGTAAAAGTGTAGAAGATGCCATGTGTTTAACAGGTACGGTGGATGACTGCAACTAGGTTTGCACCGGATACAGCAATGTGTGTGTGATTCGGCATGTGGATATATAGTTGTAAATTGGGAATGATGGGTGTATATCACAATGTCCAATGAAGTTGCGTATTCAGTAAGTGCAAGGGAAATACTCCACAATGTTCACACATGTCTTCTACGTAGTGAAGACAGTACATACATGAAATACATGACTAGACCCAGCTCCCGCTTCTTGTTTCCCATCAGAAAGCATGACTAAGTTCGAGACTTGGGTATTTGAGAGCAATTGAGACGTAGGGGAAACGAGACGAAGAAGCAAGGGCCATCCTATCAGTCGTATGCTCAGTGTCATGCTTACATACCACAATCACACTCTCGTTTCTTTTCAAGTAAAAAAACATAAGTACGAACGGTTCAAAAGGAAATGTGGGTTCACCGGCTACTCATCCTGGCGCTTAAAGCAATGCATACTACCCGTCTCCATAGCCCTGTAGCTAAGATGGCAGACGCCACATCGGACAAAAAACCCATCTAGCTAAGGTATTCAACAAAATCTTCCTCCCTCCCAACCCCACAAGCGAAGAACCAGAACAAAGAAAGAAACAAGGATTCAGAGCTTCCACGCAACCTTCTAGCGTGAACCGAGAGAGAGAAAAAAGCTACATCCATCATCAACCTCAACGCCGCTTACGGTAAGAACCTCGGAAAGATTCTCAACTGGCCCTGCTTACCGATTGTAATCGCCTCCCAATGAAAAAAACTCCAGCATCACGTTCACCACAAGCATCAAACCTTCCACAGCCCCTTCCACAAATATCCAGCCACCCTTCTTGTTGAGAAGCTCCCCCTACCCCTGCACACAAAACCCACAACATCGGGCATTACCGCATCGCACCCCATCCGACCTCCGACTTTTTCTTCCTTTCCTCCCGCTCCCCCCCCCCCCCCCAACCTCCGACCGTACTAAGCCAGGCACAGTATCACACTAGCACTCCATGCATTCCTCGCATGTGAAAGACCAAACCCCCCTCCCCCCCAAGTTCCATCTGTGCTTTTCCCTTTCGTAGCTATTGTTTCGTAGTTGTTATTGACCCACTTTGCACAACTTACCACCTATACCTTGTAGAGTAGGACTGAGCTGAAGGGGGACCTCCGACCAAACGGTTGCGGCCCTCCGGCCTTCGACCCACAACATACATGGGGGGGGGGGGCTACGACCTCCGATGTCCCCACACTTGCTTGCGTGGCAGGTGTCCCGCAAACATGCAATCCCAACCCCATCCTATCCCGTCTCTCCATTACAATACGACATACAATACTATCTTAACTTGGAAATATGTTGAGGCGCACAAGCCGTCTCAGATCCATCTGCGCACCCAGAAAGCAAGAAAGCAAGAGAAGAAAAAAACTGGGCTTTCTCGAACCCGTTGTGGGTCGGGAAAGGTCTAGAAGTCTGTGTAGAAGGGTGAGCGGGTAGGAAAGTGGGGTCTGGTATCGGAGGTTCACGGGTTGCGAATGCATTGTTTTTGCTTTCTCGTACGCGGGGGTTTTTTTTGGACTTATGGGAGTTGTAGAACATGTGATGGAAGGGGGGTTGGGGAGTGGAGATATTTGTCCGAGGGATAGGGATACTAAGAATCGATAGTTTGAACTGTGGATTGGAGTATTGTAATTGGTTAGGATCGATAGGATTATTCGATGGCGAAGGGGGAATAAAGGGCAATGTGAAGGTGGGTTTGCGTTGCAATCGGTATGCCAAGTGTGGTGTACCTACCTCACTCCACACACACACACACACACACACACACATGTGAATATTACAGTAGTTATTGCAATCTCCACATCTACACGTAATTTTTTTTTCACAGTAACTATTTACATACATATATAAATACATCGGCAGAGCTCGGCTACCCTTAGCGCCCATCTGCATCTAGGCAACAACGGCACATGGCGCCAGAAAAAGGTCGTCGACACAAGACAACATGTGAGTGCATCATGCAGCCTCCGCTCCGAGAAAACCAAGCCACAAAGCCCAAAAGGGCGAAGCTTACCCATATGCATGTGTGCCATCGTAATCCCGTTTCCCCAACAAAGATCTCTATTTTTTCCCTCGCGTCATTCACGACTAGAAGAGTTGTTGTTTATTGTTATTGACGCTCGCATGATGAAGCGATGATGAGTATGTGTCGTCAAAGTTTCTGAATCCGGCTATCTCGGATTTCTAAAATCGATAGAAAAAATCGAGGGACGGACAATGAGGCAAGTGGCGTCACCTACTACAAACACAGAAACATGCACACGCACGTTTTTACATATTTGCCCCCGTTTGAATCGAATAGTAAGCGGGCGGCGCGTTTGTGTACAGTGAGTGTTGGGCATTCAATACCGATTTGCAATTTCCTATTATGGAAAAACAACGGGCTACGCCATTTTGGGATATGTGGGTTGATCGGGTTAAGCTTGACACTTTAGTTTCAAATAGTTTGTTGAATGTCTCCGGGAAAGCGGAGAGGGGTATCGTTTATCAAACAGAGAACGCCGTTTCAACGACAGAGGAGATTTACAATCGCAAGTTTCTGGTGTTTTTGTGATATGAGCTTACCTTAGAGTGGCGTGATACGTATCCGGTACCAATGCCAAGATAGGAAATGTGGAATATGTGGTCAGCAGATAGGAATAGATGCAAAAGCTGGGCCATATCAATAATGGGGGAGATGTGATATCTGTTTGACAGGATGATAGTGCTGCAGCTTGCATTTGCGGATGCAGCTACGCTATCAGTGGTGTGTGGCGATGGTTAGTTAGTCCTGTACGTACACTACTCGTACATGTTTGCCCCAACTCAATGCAGGCAGACGAGGCTGACGAGGCCGCTCTACTAGGTGTATTTCTTCCACCGTTTACGCGGCAAGGCTGAGTGGAGAATTTATCCGGATTGCCGCATTCGGTAATGTACGATCGGCAGTGGTGGTACCTGCATTCTCCAGATGTACGTCATGGCCGCTCGTGACGAGTCCAAGTGTTGACCCCAGAAAAGATCGACCAGCGACCTTTGTTTTTTTTTGTTTTTTTGCGGAGCCCCGTGATCGTTACAAAAAAAAGGGGTGTGTTTGGATGTGTGGGGAGGCAGATTTTTGGGGGTTTCGGCAATTGAGTGGAACTTTTGTGGGCATGGGTGTGATGACGACAGTATCAGTGGTGGATTAAGTTGCGAGCAGCGAAGATCCATGGAAACAGTGGTGCGACCATCTTGGTTGACGTCGCTTGTGCATGGGGTGGGCCAGTCACTCCCCCCTTGTCATCACAAACTGGTCGACGTGCCACGTCTGGGGTTGCCCGTCTGGGGAACTGTAACCACCGTTCCCGAGTTTTGTCATCAACACCTGACATGTTCAAAAGCCTTCGCTCCAAGCTGTGCCTTGGTAAAACGCGTCGGGGTTTTCCTAGTTTGTCTAGCTAACCATATCCAAAGAGGGCTTGCGGGGTAAAGGACCAGTGGGGAAGCTAATCAACGTTCCGCTCGCTGGTGATTGCACCATGTCTGGAACACAAATAGGCTTAGTAGTGGTAAAAACTTGGAACGGCCTCGTCGCCGATTTGGAGATCTTCAGGGTTTTGGCGTTACTTGATTGTCTTGACACGTGGGAACCAGGAAGTCTTTCAGTGATAATGAAGCCAGCGCATGGGCAAGAGCCGAGGACAAGCACGTCGGACCGCGCCCCAACAGTCTCATCCGAAGCATCTCAGCACCCCTTGCTCTTGGGCTTCACATGTAACGGCAGCAGCTACGCACGTAGGCTCGCCGCCCAACACGAGAGACCACATAAGTGCTCTCATGACTCGTTTATCCTTCCGGCCATGCGCCAGGCAGACTTGGAGCAGGGAACATGGCCAGCTGCCAGGCAGTGCGTTTTTTTTCGGTTCGCATCGCAGCTTACTCCAACACCATTCGCATTCGTGATTTCAGCGCCCGACGAGCGCGCACTTAGTGGCTTAGTCCAGTCGCCGTCCTACCCCTTGCCTGTAAGAATGAGACACGTCGGCCGATGGCTGAGTATAATTATACGCGCTTGAGATCAGTGGTATTATTATACTGCGTATAAGATACTCGAACGTGCCGCGTAAGTTGAGCTCGGGAGGGCGCGGTATTGACTTGTGGGGAAACCCCTGCCACTGCAACGTTCGAAGCACCTGATCCTGATAAATCTTCCGTCTGTCACAAATCGTCCAAGAAAAATCAGGGTCGGTAATAAAACATGGCATGATTCCGGAGTTTGCTCCGTGTGCTTAAAACGGAATCTCAGCTTCCCTGGACAAGGAGGCCTGTCCCAGATAGATGCCATGCCACCTGAAGCCGGGGAAGCGCTTCCTAGTAGTAGGTTGCGCCTTGTCGGTAGGGTACCAAGAAAACGGCGTCTCCTTTAGATTCAAGCCACATGTCTTACATGCCACCAAATGAAGCCGTTTCTTCTCCCACCAACTGGCATCGTCGTTGCCTCGTACTCCATGACCAACATCCGAGATCTCTTCAACTTGCGATGCCGGCTGCATCTGGTCGAGGCCGATTGTGTGCCATGTCCTTTATCGCAGGGCTCGTGGGCGCGACATGGGCCGAGTCAGGTGCACGACCGAGTCTGTGAATCGCAAAGGGTGCTTGCGATCGAGAACGTCATGCCGGGAAACCAGCTCTTGGGAGCGGAGCATATTTCAGACACGGGGCTTTGAGCAGTCCACTGCCCATGTGTTCGTATCAGAGAAGCCTCGGTGTTTGCAAAAAACAAAAACAGCCGAAAGTACTTTGGTAGGTGTACTTGTGCGGTGCAGGCCTATCCCGGTCCAACTGTACTCACCGCCGAGAGAGGTTCATGAACACATGTTATGGGATCCCTCGTCATGGAACCTCGGACGTTTGAGCGTTGCTGAGGCCACCACAGGCCGGTAGCTTTGATCCATTGTTGCAGTCAATGGGCCAATGTGTGAAAACAAGTCGTCCGAGTTGGTATGGAAGTTGGGGGCTGAGTGACGTAGGCTATGGGGGCGTGTAGGCGGGCGTAGGGCTAGATCCGGCCTTGGCATAGATCTATCCAAGTGGAGTCTACATCTGTCTGTTACCAAGATTACGGAAAAAAAGAAGAGCAATCTTGGTGCGTCTCGTGTTGTTGATGCGGCCGCTCATGTGGTTCTGATCAGGTTGTTCGCGATGATCCATCGAGATACAACTGCAAGATCTCCCTGAAAGTTTGTGGGCTCGCGATCGAGCCCACAGACCATCTGACTAGGGGGATGTCAAACGGCGCCTGATGTTAGCAATGTTGTCAATCAAGAGGTACCAATTGCATTTGAAGCGATGAAGCTAAAGCTATAACATTGGACTGGCCAAGTGCCTGTCTCAAGCTAGAGGGTGACGTAGAAGATACTAAATAATAGTCATTCTCAAGGAGTACGACGTTAGGGGTATCTTTTCTGGTTCTGTGCTTTCAAGCCATGGAGCCCTCGATGGCCCGGGAAGATTAATATGTATATGCTCTTGGAGCAAGACTTTCCGAAGTGAGGCTTGCATAATATTGGGTCAATAACCTTTTTGCAATGGTGTCTGTGGATGCGGCGAGACAAAGACCATTAGGCATGCATGTGCTTTGGGGTTTCATTTTCTTTTCTTGCGACAAAGAGTTGGGGTATACGATCAGCTTTCGGAACGTCCTTGGTACTTGTCAACGAAAGAGTAGTAAGTGGTGCCAAGCAGACTGGACAATTGATAATGAGGCGGTAGGACCGAAGACTCATGGCACTGGTGAGTAACGGCGTCAACGCGCCGAGGAGGGGGTGGGGCAAGTGTGCGGAGGGCTTGATGTATGTATCCTGGCACCCTGTCTGTTGCTCCGGATGCGGTAGATGGTACCACGAACTGGAGTAGTAAGCCGTAGTATGCGAGACGAGTGGCTTGGGCTAGGTCTTGTTGTCTCTCAAGAGTCGTAGGCTGTGAAGTGATGATCGTAAGCGGTGTAATGCGGCATGTATTGACGGGAGATGCTGGCGCTGTGTAATACTCTGTGTGTCCAGTCAATGGGGTATGAAGCCGCGGCCACGACGCTTGAGCAGGGCAAACCCGACGGTGGTGTCAACGGCGCAGGCAGGCAGTGTGTGTGTGGAGTATTGCTTTGCCGCATGGCGGCAGTTGATTATCACCCGCTTCATCGTACTCAGACAAGCATTTCAACATGTTATTAGTCGAATGCGAGTGCAGGACGCCAGGTCTGCATCGAGCAGTAATTGGCACAAAAGAAGAAGCACGTCACCAACGTATGGATGGATGTATACGACCAACTTGTGGAATGGGACATGTGTGACTATGCGAGTTCATGTGACGAGCAATGTCGCCTCCATTGTACGGGAGCAACAAATAAAAGGGTGGACAGGGCCGGTCCCAGGTGATTGCCAACCGTAGCGAGGAGCGGTTGCGACGATCACGGTGACGGCGACGAGGACTGTCAGCGTATTACCAGACAGACGCTTGACACAAGTATAGCCAGGGAGCATTTGGCGTGGCGGAAGGGGCCTTGTACATGAGGCTGAATCATCTTCAAGATAACTCGTCGAGTATGGCTTCAGATGACCACTCGCAGGCGCTAAACTGCCAGCGCATCAACCTCCAGACCGACTTGGTTGCCGCGGGGTAGTTGCTGCGGGTGCCTGATAGAGCACTTCCGTCCGCCAATGCAGACACAGAGGATTGTTTTTTTAGCATCCAGATGATCAAACGCCCTCCGGGGGGAGGGGGGCAAGCGGTAGAGGGTGGGCGTCAACAATGCGGGTTGACTGGGTCCGCCCGCTGAGCTGAGCCTGTACGATCCGGGGTGGATGCTCCCATTTGCTGGACCAAGTTGAAGGGGAAGATTGGCGAGACGGTTATCCGCAAGTCAGCTGGCGAGGCTTGCGTAGGCAGACGGCAAGTCAATAGAGTACTCTACAGTAGTGAGGGGCGACGAAGCAGAAGTGTCGAGGGCAGGGCAGGACAAGCGGCGGGGAGATGGGGGAGGGGCGCGTGGGAGTCATTGCAGGCATGACGTTGTGTGCGTGTGTGTGGGCGCAAGCGGGATGAATGTCGCGGACATTAAGCATGTCACTGTCATCAATCCGGACACGCCTTGCTTGATTGCGCAGAAAGGCCGTTGTGGTTGATGGACACGGTGTTGTGGGCAGAGGAGGACAAAGCCGTGTGTGGGAGTGTGTCATGGGCGAAGGCAGTGGTCGGCTTGGGCTCACAGCCTGCGCCTGCGCCATAAGGCTGATGAGCGGTGCGGCCTGCTGCAGCAGCAGCAGCAGCAGCAGCAACAGTCCAGTCTCGCCCGCCGCCGATCCCACGATGATGCACGTCAAACAATTGCTGGCGTATATCGAGTGCAGCGTGTGTTTCATGAGACACGACCTCCTGATTTCCCACGGTCATACTCCAAGTACACACAGACTTTGGCTATCCTGCTCTTCCGGTGATGAGTTGCAGTCGGTGCAGCACAGGTGAGGCACGCCGTCTCAACACACCGCAGTCACAGTGGACAGGAAGCCGGCCCGAACAAAGGCGGGAACCGGTTTCGCAGATACAGACTGGCCGCGACGGCCTTGTCTGCTAGTGCCAGAGGTAATTTTGTGAGGCGCAGCTTTTCGTCATAAAATAGACCGTCTGTTCATTATTATCCACATGTCACCCGGGCCAAGAGCTATATCTGTAATAATAAGTGAGCCCGTTACTCATGTCCCCAACGGCCGTCCACGGTTGCCTTGTTACAATAGATGACAAAGTATCCAAGTCATGACATGTGTTGCATGCCATGGGTGGTATTCAGTGCGCGCCGCAGGGAAGCCTACATCAAAGCGTGCATAAGCGCTCGTCTGGGCTACCTAGCTCTGGTAGATGATACGGAAGAGCGGTAAAGAGGCCTACCAAACAGACGGCTCCAAACCGAGCATGTGTCTCTTTGTTGGGACTTTGAATCCCTGGACACCTGACATTGCGACAGAATTCAATCAAAAAAACTGCCCCAAGAAGTATTGCCTCGGTGTCTCGTGCATCGCACTCACCGGCGGCCCCTCCCCATGCTCATGCCCATAGCTATCATCATATCATCACAAGTCACCGAAGAGGCACGCCACATGCAATGTAGGGTCGAACGTTTGAGTAATGTAAGAATCCGCTTTTTGTCATTAAGTACCTATGTAGGCAAATACCTGCTATCTTTCATGCGAGGATATTTCCATCATCGGGCAGCTCCGCAAAAGCCGTCCCATTCCAGGGTATAGTGGCTCGGGCAAACAGCCCGATAAAAGTACAGTTGCAGGTGATAGTAGTACAGACCAGATAGGCGTGAGCCGTGACCCATCTTCCACATACAGAAGACGCAATCCCATGTCAAACGCAATGACTGCATGAAAGAAATTCGTAGCCTCGTCGGGCATACTCAAAGCCCTGATGGTATCAGAAGTTTTTTGGGTTGAACATTACCCCGGATCGGCTGGCCCACCCTTTAGTCCACTCGACTGGGCGGCCCGCCAAACAATAAAAAAGTCTGGAACAAAAAAACAAAATAAAAGACGAGCAGCAAGGTAAAATAGAGAACAAAAAGAAAAACCAAAAAAGAAGAGCATAATTAGAACACAAAAACGCCCTGGTTCAATGCCAAACCATAGATGCCGCTAGAAGTGCAAACGTTGAAAAGCAAAAAAGAATGATGCTTGATTACCATCCAGACTTGTGGTAATCGCCAAGCCCAGAGTCGAAGAACTGGTTGTACGTGCTACTGGGCTTGCTGTCATCCTTGAAGGCCGATGATTTGGCTTGTGATTGTTGTTCGTTGTTGTTTAGGCCCTTGACGTCGCCGGTCGTCATTGCTCGGCGCAGGCCAGGCAGGTTCGCAGCACTCTGTTGGCGCTTTGCGACTGCGTTGGTGGTGGCATTCTTCTGTTGCCTTTCCCACAGCAGGTTCTGCCTCAAGCTTCCAGTCAACTCCGAGGTCAGCATGTTGCGCCTCGTCGTCTTGGGAGACATGGCAGGTGGGTGGACGTTGGACGTGGTCATGATGATGGGCTTGGGGCGAGAGGCCTGGGACCGCATCATCATCAGACCACTATCCTCGTGGGGTGAGTTGCCAGTGGAGGGGCCGTTTGGCGTCGATGTGCGGGATCGACGGATGGCAGGGCTTGATCGGGATGCGGCGTTCTGAAGCGCCAATGCGCGGTCATCCTGATGAAGAGCAGTGGTGAGGAGCGATCGACGCGAGGTGAGGTCAGGCTTGGAGTCGACCCGCTGGAACAGAGGAGTACGGTCAGCAACGCTAGGAGGACCACTCTCTTCGTTGTCGTCGTCCTCCCAGTCGTCGTCATCGGAGTCCTCCTCCTCAATGGCGCTCTCATCAATGTCATCCTCGCTGTCGCTCTCAATGGCCGCCTCGCTTTCAGAGGTGGCGTCTTGGAAGGTGCGGGTGCTGACTTCAGTCTTGAACGAAGTCGTCTTGCGCATGGGGGCAGCAGCCTTGCGCAGATGCTCGGTGAGGGAGCTGCGCTGGGCCATGGAGTAGGCCTCGAAGGAGCTGCAGTTGTCCTCCTCGGAGGATCCGCCGAGTGTGAACATGGGCTGCCTCTTCTTGGTGTTGTCGGCCTTTGCGGGCAGCGGCTTGGTGATGAAGCTGGACGTCTTCTTGAGGATGGGGGTGGGGTTCAGGTTAGCGCTCGAGCGAATCGAGGTGGAGATGTGGCCAGGCTCAAAACCACGGACGACGCTGTGCTCGCTCACGTCGGTCGAGGTGCTGGCCTCGGAGCCGACTACAGGGCTCATGATGTCGCAGCCGACGCTGGTGGCGACGGTCGATGTTGAGGCTTCGGGAATGGGGCGGGCATGCGAGGGGGGAGTGGCGCTGCGAGGCGTCGTGTCTTCCTCGGCTGGCTTGAGCTCGGGTATCGGGGCGGCGAGGTCGGCTGGGAGAGGCGAGAGGGGCTCAATGAATTTCTTCTCCTGTATTGAGTTGACGACCTTTTCGAGGCCAATGGGAGTCATGTGCTTGCCACGGGCGTGGCTGGTTGCCGAGTCGTGGCGGCGAAGGTCGGGGCGAGAGGCAGAGAGGTCTGAGCGGGAGGCCGAGGTGATTGCGCTGTCCAGATTGGACTCGTCGGAAGCGACGCTGGTGGAGAGTTCGGGTACGTCCGGGGCGCTGCTTGACAGCCGACGTCCTAGCGACCAACGGGACGATGTGAGCGAATCAGGCTGGCAGCAAAACGTCTCGCGGGACCAAAGACGCCATGCCATGTTCTCGTAGCGCTTGCCGTCTTCCATGGCTGGGGAGCATCGCGCAAAGACTGTTGCAGTTGTGTTAGTACGTGTGTCTGTGGTGGTGAGGCTGCTGTCCCGCTGCAATTCCCAGCGGCTTGGGTTTGCAGTGGGTTGCAGTGGCTCGGTCTTGCATGGTTTACTCACCAGACCAAAGGCCAAAGAGGTTCTCTGTGCTGCTGGTTTCGATGGTGCGCATGGAGCTGGGCTCGACGCGCACAATGGGCCGTTCGGCGCGGAGAGGCATGTCTCTCGAGTGTGGAGGTTAGAGTGCAGGAGCGAGTGTCGGTGGTCGTGGGACGGGGATTGTGGCGGGGAGGGGGGGAGTTGCAGTGGGGACGGCGTGGTTCCGTGGTCGTGGTTCTTGGAGGTGGGCGGTTTACTTTAGTTGCGATTGCGTCAATGGGGTAGAGTTGGAGAAGAGCCGAGCAGAGGGAGTGCCGGCGGGACTAGAGGGATCGCGGAGACATGGATGGAATGGCGTGGATGGAGTTACTGGTGGCTGTGGTGGTAGTGTTGATGGTGGAAGAGGAGTGTACTGTGGGCAATGGGTAGGTGTAGTATGTATGTGTGGGTGTGTGGGTGTGTGGGTGTGTGAGAGGGCAACGTCTGGTGGCAGCACAGGTGGGAGTGGATCTGGGTATGTATAAAGCCCACAGCGTGTGCGCGGACTGCAGCGACAGGGGTGGGCCAGAGCAAGAGCAACGACCTGGGCCACACCTCCCTTCCCTTGCACGCACCCTCCCCCCCCCTCCCCTCCCTCCCTCCCACTACCCTACCCATGCATCCCTAGCCCTAGGATAAGGGCCGCCGGAGCACCCCCGGCAGATTGCATCCAGAGCCCGTCCGGCCTTTCTACCGCTCTTTGGCCGATTCTCACGCTGAGCCCGTGGCCCATGGCGTCAGTCTCTGCGACGCTCGTGGCCAGCTCGCCATGCCCAGACGGGCATACGGTACCTACTACACTACGACGTGCTGGGACAGTGCAGGTGGTGTAGCAGCAGACAGCCTCCTCCGCCTTGCCTTCTCCGCCTCCCTCCCTCGCCCGCCTGGCCTGCCCTGGAGAGAAGGAACAACGCATCCAGGGCCCCCAACGCCACCTGGGCCAGGTGTGCCCACGGCGTGCACCCCCCGTGTACCGCCGCCGCGCGCGTGGCTCTTGTGATGTGAATGGGTCTGCGGCTGGGCGTGGGGAGGCACATGATGTCTCGCTCGCATGCACGGCGGACGTGCGGGCTGGCCAGGCTGCGCTCCCCTTGTGGGACTTCCAGAACATGTCGCCCTGACTCGTCATGTCTACCGTCTGTCTCATGTCGCATCTCATGCCTCGCGCCTCGCGCCTCATGCCTCATGCCTCATGCCACGCCTACGCCCACGCCCACGCCCAGCGCTCGCGACGGCCGATGAATCGTCGACGCTGTGGCGGCCGCGGCCAACCAGCTGGCTGCCGTGACATGTGCGGTGCTGACGTAGCCGCCTGGTTGCACCGTCTGCCTCCCGTCGTGGGTCGTAGGTCGTGGGTCGTGGGTCTTGGGTCGAGTGTTGCTCGCGGATCCGTTGCACCATGGGCTCGTCGTCACCTGCGCCCCCGCCCCAGAACATTACCGCGATACAAGATGATACCTTACAATACCGCTGACTCAGCCGCTCTACGGCCAACAGCATGGAAAATCTTGTGCGTGCCATGTGAGGCGCTAGGCCCATTACGGCATAGCGGTCTCCCCCGCGGAAGCCACCCTTGTCTTCCGCCTGCGTTCCTTTTCCCTCTTCGCCTCTTCCGACACAGGGCCCCTGCACGCTTCTAGCCCCCTCGACTTGCCCATCGCCCATGTGCTTGCCTCGCCCGGCAGTGCGCCTCTTTTGAACCCTGAGTCAATGGCAGCAGAGAAGTACCCTCTCCACGCCCACACACACACGCTGCCTCCACACCTCCAAAAGAAGCCTCCCCCGGCCCGCCAGCCTCACCACCAAACCCAAACCTAGCTGTCTTCTACGCTCACTCTCGCTCACACACGCTCATAATACTCGCCTTGCTCACCCCGCCCCGTACTCGTTCGCCCTGTTTGCCACTCCCTGCTCGCTTCTGCCGTTTGCGCTAATCACACCTCTCCCCGCACCAGGGTACCTCCATCACGGGGTACCTGACTTCTGCCGTCCGCTGGGCGGTCAAGCCGTCTAGTAACGAGTAGCAAGCAGCAAGTAACAGAGCAGCACTCCGAGTAGCAGACGCCCGCTGCCCTTGCAACTGTCTGCCTGCCAGCCATGTGGCTCTCCCCCCTTTGCCGCCCTCGAGTGCCGCCATCGTTGCCGCCATCGCTGCCATCTGGTGCACTGCCCAAAGTCATGACCCTGTGCCTGTGAATACTCGACCCATTGTTCGCCAGGTTCCTGGATGCGTTGGTCGCCCGCAGGGGTCACCGCGCACGAGGTACACGCCCCGTGTCGCCACCGGGTGAAGACGCCGGCTGTCGACAAACACTACTGCTGCTGCTACTCTACCACAACCATTTTCCCCAGACACTCACAGCCAGATGTCGGGGTAGCGCCATGTACCCTGCCAAGATAGCTCTGTGCCCCCTAGTCCCTCTGGTACCGTCCAAGTTGGCAGACATGCTACGTCAGTCGATTGCACCGCAATTTCTCGAGGTCATCTGCGGCGGCCCGCCGAATCACAAAGCCACAAAGCCATCAGGTGTGACTGCTCCTCGTCGCTACATGCGGCGTGACGCTTGTTTCATGAGTTGTACATCGGGAACTACTGTTTCGCTAGCCAAACATTGCAAATTCTACATGGCTCTCAATGACCCGGTGCCTGTCCACTAATCCCTCCTTGTCCATGGTTGCTGCTGTCCCCTAAGCCACCCCAATCTCACGATGCGCGCCACCGCACTCGATGCCCAGCGACTCCAACCACACCGGTTCAAATCATACATGAACATCTGCAACATTAAAAAAAGCCTTTGACGCACCCCAGCCGCTCTCGCTACATCTGGTTCATCGGATCCAAGGCCCGTCACGTTTGCTTCTGTCCCTTTTTCTTTTGCCCAGTCCCCAGATAACCGACCATTCCAGCCTTACAGTCACCGCGGCAATATCGTCCCGAGACCGAGGCATTTAGCACAGCGAGGCCAAGAAAAAGAAGAAACAGTCACTAGAACTACGTGCGCGTGATCAAGTCGCGGTGTGCATTGTCGCCTTCAGCGTCTAACACTGAGTGTGAGGTGACCGCTGATATGCTGTACCATGATCTAAAGTTGGATTTGCTTTGCTACGTACAACTAGGACAATGGATCCCCCGCGCGCACTCAGCTACTAACTTTGGGTCCCGAATTTTGTCACGACTCACATGTCCATGGCTTTCCGATGTGCTGCTATCATCACTTACCAAACTTACTCGCCCATGTCTGACCACTACAAGACACAGCAGCGACCGACTTGACAAGACTAACCGTCGTTCCACGGCGCCATCAGCAACCCTCCGTATGCAGGATCAATAGAAATGAAAGAAGAAGAAAATATTACTCTCAAGCAACTTGGCAGAGTTTGGGTCGTAGTATAGTAGGTGAACTATTTGGACCTTTTTTTACGGCATGGCCTACAACTTGTCGACGACAACGGCCTGGGCATCAAGGGTTGACTGCTTTTTTTCGCCCGCTGTTACAGCACTGCTACAAGAAATAGGCAAGATCGCCGTTTTCCAGCAGATTGCTGACATGAGCCTGTGTTATCCCGCCGCCCAAAGCAACCACCAGCATGCCGTCCGCGACTCCACAAAGTACCGTGCAAAGCCATTGTCGTTTGATTGCTCGGCGCCAGCTGAAATGCATAACCCATCCTTTCGCGCGCCACACAGATCTTTTTACTCATTGTTGTGCTGCTCGCCCGCGGCCTCAGGGTGGCGCAACCATGTATTTGCAAAGAGGGCCCAAACTGCGCGCGCATCCTTCCTGTATGTATGTACACATGTATACGCATACCCACCTCCAAGGTGGAACAGGGGGAATGCAACTGCAACCACAATGGCGGCTTGACAGTGCCACACCATCGGACACTTTGCTGGATGCCCATGGCCCCGACAGCTTGGATCCGGTCCTCGGTCTAGCTCTTGTGGGACCGGGGCTTACATCCGCCCTCCGGAGGCGTCGCGTGGCTGTTATGGTTACGCAGGAGGAGTGGCCAATCGACTGGGGGTCGCTCGCAATCATCGGTCATTGCGACGAGCCGACGCAACGGGCCCCCAGCTTTGTTGTTGTATCGTATTTTCTTGCGCGTCGAGTCCCCGACTACACATGTTCGATCTTCGCAGCACTGCTCCAAATCTGGTCCCTTTCCTGGCGAATAAACTTGCACCTCTCACCCTGTGCTCCCTTCCTCTCACCCATAACTCCAACTTTATTCTTTAATACGGCGGAGTGGGCTGCTACTCAGGTTAGATACCTTTTGATCATCGTTCAAAGTGCAACAATATGCACAAGCGTCGTGCATGTGACACCCCCCCCCTTCTGTGCCGCAGTGTTATTACCCGAGAGTTTCAGCGACAATGTACCTGCGAAATCTTACCGACAGTTGGACCTCGCTCAAAAGGACAGGAAAGCCTTCCTATCGCGGCGACCAAGCCCTTGATCAACTCATTAGTGCACGGGGGGAGCGTTCTTCTAGTCTCCGGTCCTTGCGGCACGAATCATTTGTGAGGGATTTTACACGAATCGCATTGTCTCCTGTGCTTCCCCGTTAGCGGCGGGCTTTGCTCCCAGCGAATTGATACGAAATACGTTATGCTGACTTTTCCACCAAGCCGGGACTTCTTTCTGGCCTCCAAAAAAAACCAGCCATCGTCGATTGCCCAAAGGAATCAAATGTTGATGCCCAAACAAGACATTTTCTCCCAGTTCCCTGGCCAGTGGGAACAAACATGCTGGGCGGCACACACAGACACACACAGACACACACAGATATATTCACAGAGACACAGATCCATACACCCCAGGTCGCATCGCTTTGTCCGCGCATTGATAAACACATTGATAACCAACATTGTCGACAAGCCGCAGGAGCGCGGGTCGTGGGTGGCAATGTAGCAGGTCGACGGACCAAGGCGCCGGTCTCTCCGTCAAAGGTCACAAGCAACCGCCATTTTGCTCATTACGCTTTCTGGCCCGGTTGAAACCTACTAGTAGCATGCTGCTCTCTGCTTCCACCGCGCCGACTTTGTGAAGAGGACCAACGACGCCAGTCCAGGCTCATTACCCTGGTCCGGCGCATCGTTCACATGCACAACGCCCGCCTGCTTAGCGCAGCTCCTATGGTAACGTTCTGCTCCCACGTGTGCCCGCTTATCATCATAGCTTACCCGAGTCATCGTGGGGTCGCCGTCTTTTTATTTTTCGGATTCGGCAGTGACAGATGAGGCGTTTTGAAGTGGTTGACGAGGCCTCCCCCTCCCCCCACCCACCCGCTGTACGGTATGTACCTGAAGCATACACATGGCAAGAGGGGGGCGCGCGCGCGCGCAGGCGCAGGCGCAGCGGCACGCAAGCTGCAACTGCACGGCAACTGCTAGTTTGCAACCGTCTAGCCCGTCCGTTCCCGTGAAAGTCTTTTTGCTCAAAACATTCTGCCGACTGACCAATAGACACATGACCATTCTTGCCCATACAGTATTCTCCCGGAAGGATTATGCAAAAAGCCCTCGTTCGCCAATGGGGACTCCATTTTTTTCGACCTTCTGCTTTGGGATGGGGGAACATTGTGCATAAGTCTCGTTTGTAACACTCTTTGTTTTCCTTTGACACAGAGGAGTGAGATAGAGAAAGAAAGAGGAAACGTCCTTGCTCACCACTTGTCGCTTTCAGCCTAGCCAAGCATGCACTCTTTTTGTCTTGTTTGCGAAATGTAACGCTCAGGGTCCTTTGGTGGGTTGGTTTTAACGGCCTTTTTCCCGAGCTGGTGGTTCATACACACACACACACACACACACACTCTCTCTCTCTCTCCCCCAAGTATAGCTCTAGTAACACATACAACATGCGTGCTTACTCGATCATCTGCACACCCACATTCCCTTTCATCTATCTCGTGCTCCCTCTATCTCTCGGGGAGCAAAGTAACCAGCAGCACCAAGCAAACAAGCCCCCCATTGGCGCTGACCCAACATGCATGAGATCTAAATTCCCTGGACCGATTTCAGCCAGTCTTTAATTTGTTTACTTTGCTGACCATACTCCACTTGAGCGCTGTCTATTCCCAGCATGCTCACTCACACTCACACATACAAAGCCTTGTAACCACACTGCCGGGACCCTGGGGGCCTCATCCCACCGCCATTTCTTTGGCTACAAGTCACACACACCTTTTCCACACCCATCGTTTTTTTTTCTTGTCTGGATAACTATACATATATACTAGAATCTTAGGCCTCCCTTTGCACCTTCCCTTCCTTTTCCTTCACCGCCGCTACAGAACACGGCATAGACGTTCTGTGTAGCAACAGGGCAAGGCAAGGCAAGCTAACTCGCTACTTGCTACTACGGTATCATTCGTGATACCATATTGATTCGCACAAACGAACGTACTAGTCTAATGCACACACGCTGATGCTGATGCTCATCTCAGCACCAACATTAACCCCATGGGGATTTTTTTTTGGTGGTTCCCGCCCCCCCCCCCCCCCCCA